CCTAGGTTTGTTCATCTTTGTTCATATTTTCTTCTGCAAATTCCAATTTAGATTAATTTTTAAGCATTTGGAAGCAACTTAGCCTTCAAAACAGGTCTGCCCTTTTGATTCGGTTAGTTCTTCTTCCTTTTATGGATTTAGTTATGTTTTTCGTTCATGTAATTAGGTTGAATGTTTTCTACCTTTGTTCTTTTGTCTCTGCACAATATCTAGACATGCAGTTCATTTAATTTCAATTTTCAGATTTAATTTTATAAGTTTCAAGACTTTAATCATTTCATAGTTTCTTTTTCAGTTTTAGTTAATCATTATGGGCTGCGTAGTTGAAATCATTGTTTGTTATTTTACATTTTCTGTTGTCTGCGAATTTAATCTTCATGGCATGTTATTTTCTGTTATTTACTTCATGTTAGTTAATTGCTTTAGGATAGTGCATTTATTTTAGGATTTGTAGCTTTTATTACACTTGTTTGGTTGTGAAGTCCTTGGAGGTTTCCAAGGCAATTAGTAACCCATTTTGCAGAACTCCACCCTCTGTTTTGCAACATCGTATGGGGTGTAATTCATTTCACAGACGTTCTTTCCAGCCATCCTATTGGAGGTCGATCGTTGGAAAGGAAAAGGGTCGTCTGGAAAATCCAGTTTTCTTGTTTTTAAACAAAGCAAGTGGCACGCCTAATAACCAAACTCACGTGGTAAAGGCCGACTAAACAAAGGATTGTTTCCCCAAAAATCCTCAACCGGCCTTTACCACGTGAGTTGGATGTTAGGCATGCCACTTGCTTTGTTTAAAAACAAGAAAATTGGATTTTTCAGACGACCCTTCTCCTTTCCAACGGTCGACCTCTAATAGGATGGCTGGAAAGAACGTCTGTGAAATGAATTGCGCCTCAGACGATGTTGCAAAATAGAGGGTAGAGTTCTGCAAAATGGGTTACTAATTGCCTTGGAAACCTCCAAGGACTTCACAACCAAACAAGTGTAATAAAAGCTACAAATCCTAAAATAAATGCAATATCCTAAGGCAATTAAACTAATATGAAGTAAATAACAGAAAATAACATGCCATAAAGATTAAATTCGCAGACAACAGAAAAAGTAAAATAACAGACAATGATTTCAACTACGCAGCCCATAATGATAACTAAAACTGAAGAAGAAACTATGGAATGATTAAACTCTGGAAACTTATAAATTTAAATCTGGAAATTGAACTGCATGTCTGGATATTGTGCAGAAACAAAAGAACAAAGACAGAAAACATTCATCCTATTTACATGAATGAATAACATAACGAAATCTATAAAAGGAAGAAGAACTAACCGAATCAAAAGGTCAGACCTGTTTTGAAGGCTAAGTTGCTTCCAAATGTTTAAAAACTAATCTAAATTGGAATTTGCAGAAGAAAATATGAACAAAGATGGGCAAACCTAGGCTAAGGCTATGA